GATTTTCGTAACGGTTCGGTTTGGTCATTCGACGAACGCGATTGCGAGTCCCTGCGATACGAGAACGAAGAAGAATCATTTATTTCTGAATCCTAGCGACCGACGCGTTTAAAGTATTCGTACATCATCTATATCGTTGCTATATTATTTACGCTTTTTAAACATTTTTAACGGTTTACGAGTATTCTCGTACACGGATCGGTTGGTAAAAAGTGTTCAGCTCGTTTTACCATAACAATACTCGTAGGAGACGAACAAGTACCGTCTGTTAATTATACACGAATTCTACTATAACGTGCGCGCCTATAAAAACAGCAATACGCCCGCGTGCAAGTACAAATATTTGTGTATATTTTTTAAATGTACGCTTTTACAACACCAACACGAACATTTTGTAACGTTCGATTCGAGTGGTGTACACTAATAATAATATATAATATAATTTCAACAACCGTCGTCGTCGTATAATAATAATAAAACGTTGTTGAGTGTATAAAAATAAAACTGCTACTTGTTTGAGTCTTCTTGCTTCTTCTCGACTCCGCGTGCACCTAATAGAAAAATAAAAGAAAACAACACGCGGAATGTTCGGATGATGGTTATCGTGTGCAGTGTGACACGAAATTATAATTATTAATTTTTTTTTAACTACATACGTATATAAAAACGTATAGTGTCCTATAATGTTACGTTCGCAACGTTCCACGGTACCTATTCTATCCCGCTTTTACTGTACGGCGAACCAAACAATTACAATAACATGTACACGCCCATATCATATCGTATTTACTCGTTGTAGACAAAAAAAATAATAATAACGACAAAACATTAAAAAAATTACACAAAGATGTTTTTATTAAATTTTTATGAAATCTAATATACCAACAATACGCATACATTATTCGTGTATTCGCACGCGCACACGCAAAAACAGGCATGCAAATTGAACTGGAACTCGTGCATCGTATGTATAATAATAACAACGTACACTCGTTATATATTTATTTAGGTTAACCAATGACGCTAATGTCATGATTCGTTCATATTTACGGTAAAACGTTACACATGATCGAAATGTGATTCGACGCCGCGTGTATAGTTTATGTGCGCCTCCCATACGTCATACTACTATTATCGTATGCATTACAAGTGTAAAAACGTGTAATTTAATGACCCATATACGTTTTTAGAGTATTTCCAGTTGCCTTTAAAATCAAATAAATTGACGTACATATCGTCTGACAATATATATATCACCGGTATGGACCAGTATATATACTTTCACGTTTTATTTGATATTAAATCATTATCATTATCTGTAGCGCGGAAACACTTTTATCTAAAAATATTATTTTACACGCCAACCAATGGAATTATTTCGAAGGGCGATTCTGGAATCGAATTCTTATACTAGCGATAGTAATCAAAAACACACCGAGGCTCATAGGCGCAATTTCAGTTTTTAACTTAGAGGGGCTTAACATATTTAAATGAAACAAACCCGTGGGGGGCTCTGCCCTCCACCCCCTCCCCCCATTCACTACCGACTACCGATATAATATAATATATTTTTTTATTAAGTATATTATTATAATTGGAACCTTCGGTTAGAAATTGCAAATTTATTTAATATTTTTTCGTTAGACAATTCATTCGATAAATCTCGTTCTATATAAATTAATGACAAATCTGTAAATCTATCTTGATTCATAGATGTTTGAAGCCAATTTTTAATCTTTTTTATTGCTGAAAATAATCTTTCACATGTTGCAGAGCTAATTGAAATTGTTAAAGATAATGATAACAGTTTATATAAATTAGAACAAAGCTCTGCATCCACGATTGATTTGATATCTTCCAAAGTGAAACTGGGGTTTCTACGAGTCACACAGTTTTTTACCACAAGCATTTCTGATTGAAGTGTATTTATATCCACATTTAATAGGTCCTAAAAATTAAATCATAAAAATTGATTGATCTCGTTTGCTGTATTATGTAGATTAGACAACTAATGAAGAATTTAATACTTTAATTTAAATATAAATTTTTAGAGAAGTTGATTTTAACATTGGAGGGGCTAAGCCCCTCCAAGTCCCCCCCCCAAATTGCGCTTATGCCGAGGCTACAAATAATTATCGTAACGATTTCAACTATATTTTGAGAAAACGCAAGTCCTACTGTAACCACGCCAACTCTTATGTCAATTGTATCTGATATCCAGTAAGCGGTGTCCAACTTTAGAAATACTTCAAGTTATCAGTTTTGAAATTTTCTTTAATTTTTAATTACTGTGTAAAATAAAAGTACAAATTTGTTCTTATAATATTCGAGTAAACTCCGTTGTTGCTCTTGTTCTATAAAAAGTTATAACGTTAGAAACCATCGGCGAAATACCGAAATATTGTAGTCATACATTTTTTGATTATGCAAATGTATACGGACTCGATGGTAAATAAAATAGCAAACCAATCGGTGTACACCAACACACGACTACTGTTATTTATACCTTTATAATATTAAAATCAATCTCGAACTTAACACACTAATGCTTTCACGTTTGTGTTCAGAAGTACATAAAATCGTACTCGCCGCGCACGTGTAGGTCGTACGACGAAGCGAATTCGATTAATCCGCTCGTATTACGCGTGTGTACGATAATATATTATAATTTGTAGGTAAGGTATTACCTCTCTATTCCAGATTTTATTCCCTACCGTCAGACAGTCACCTATATAATATACGTTAACATATTCAATGTTATAATAACTGGCATTACGTACCGGCCCACCCCAAGTACCTAGCTATACGTATTTAGTTAATGAAACGCTTTTACGAAAGGATTTTGCGAATAATGAGAAAATCGACCAACGCGAACGCCGCTCGTTCCTCCGGAAAATTCAGGCCAACTGTCGTCTCGAACTCACTCGCGTGTACGTTTCGTCCGTCAAAGTCCGGTGACTCACTGTATTATATTACATGTATTTATCCATAGTACTATGTTCATATAACGTACGCATGCACACGCATATACGCATAGTTGACCACTACTAAACAAGTCGTGTGAATCAAAAAATATAAAAAAAAAAACGAAACATCCGTAACGAATGGTAACGTAGCGTGTGTGCGTGCATGAGTTTGTGCGAGGTTTGCGAGTGCGGAGACTAAGATGTACATTCTGCGCCATGCGATGTGTGTCCATTCATCCGCAGTGACACAATAATATTACACGCACATATACGAATTTTGGCGAGAAATACTTACACCTGTGTATAGCTGTTATATAGATGTATATATATTATATAAGTAATGGTACGCGGGCAAACGACCTATCTACTGCGCGACAGTGATGTATCCAGGAGCAGGACAAAGGAGGAATCTAACATCTCCTCTCCCCCCCTCCCACTCATCAAAAAAAACGCTCAATCGTCGTCGGTCCTTAACCGATTTTTGTTTATAATTATCGTGCGCTTTCCGAAGGCTTGTTTCCGAGGTACTTTTTATATGGGAATACCTAAGCCTCAAGAGTGAAAGAATTCGAAAAAATGATTGAAACAAATACGTCCATGTAATAGTATTATAACGACTGATAATAAAATTATCTTTACCGCGGTTATGTGTGTCGATATAATTTTAGAATTACTATACTCCACATTTTTTTTTTTTTTGACGAACGACAAACTCCAGACAGAATAAATGACGATTTCTAAATTATATTTACTTTATTTAGTATAATATTTAATTATACTCGTAATATTTTTTTTTGGATACCAATATTTAATATAATATATAATATATCTTTTTTTTATTGCTTTTATCTTAACGACATTATAGCATAACAATCATTAAGTATTTAAGATACAAAGAGAAAAATAATGGTGATTAATTTGATAACAATTAATAGTAAATACAATATTTTAAATGCGGAAATCAGCGTTGGAAATAAAATTAATGATGAGTGCGATGATGATGGGAGATTGAGAATTTAGGTGATGGATTACATCAGAAGAGGAGTAACCTAAAGAAGAGAGTTGTGAGAGTGTATCATTATAATGAATACGATATGATATGTAAGAGTAATCAATACGATTTAAAAGCCACAATTTGATAATGAACAATTTCAGATACTTGAAAATCCATATCAGCAGTAGGTACTTAACAATAATGTTAATGTTAGTTAAATTAGTCAAAATTAAATATTTCAGTTAAATATTACTTTTGAAAAACCACGAATCGAACGGCAGTGGTTCTTTCATCTCTAAGTTTCTTAGACCTATCCGGGTTAATTAAGACGATGAACGAATACTGAGCGTCTGATACGTGAATATTCCAACTTTTACCTGACGCCGTATGACGGTGTATAGTACACACTGTATACTATACAATAGCAATCATCAAACCATCCATAGTATCAGTAGCCATAGTAGAGTCAACAATCGTATTGTTAAAATTACCTCGCAATATTTTCGTAAATAAAAACTACAATATAAAAGCTATAATCGCCTGGCTTTATTTTTCGATTTTTCTTAAGCCAGCAGATTAGAAAGCATCGTAGTATAAACTGCTACCACAACGTAATTGTTGTAACGCTGAATAATGATTCTTGCCTTAATCCTTATTTGAATACTATATACGGAAAATTATAAATACCAATATAACTATTAAAGGTAAGAGTTTTTTAAGTCATGGCCTAGTTGATCTGGGCCGCTATTTCACTTGTGTTAATTCTTATTGCATACAATGATGGTTTACTACCCTATTAAGACAATAGATACGAACATATGTACGTAAATGTTTAACACGAAGTTTGTTATGAGCGCAAAACAGTAAGTGGCCCGCATATAAACGTCCTTAAAAAGGAATTCTTGAAATATTAATTGCAAAATTGTTCAACCCCTCTCTCTCTCAGACGTTCAAAATCGTAATCTGGGTTCAATCACTATAATACAGCTGTAAGATAACTGTACGTTTCACAGTTTTCATCGTAATGAGAACATTACATATAACAAATGTAAACAAAAAAAATACGTTTATTAAAATAGGATTTACATATTGAAGCGTTCGGGGTTGATCCTAATCGATGTCTTTATTATACACACGTAGTTCTTTCATTTTCGTTTTTTCGGGCGTGTAGTCGTATTGTTTTGATGAACGGCGCGTTTCACCACACGATACGACGCTTCTTCGTCGCCCACGCGAAGATTGCACTAGAAAAAAAAACAATCCAATAGTTTAGTATTTCATTATTATTATTTATTTAGCATAATGTACTCCAACGTCGTCAGATCACGACTCTTATACCATTTCGTGTGCGATTGGGTAACATACATGACAGTATATATAATTGCTTGCGCACACCGCGCGGTTGTATGATGTAATCGTGTTCTTTGCGCGCGAATTATTGTTTTCCACTCCTTCCCTCACGAAGAGCTATATAATATGTGTGTGTATGTGATACATATATATTATCATATATAATACAAGATATATGCTCGAGCGTCCGTGTCAGAGTTTGCTCATCGTATATTATTACATGAAATTATTGTAATACACTTTTAGGCGCGTTCACTTATGAACCTGCGATTTTGTATAGGCCATCGAAAGAGTGTAAACCGAAGCGGTTGAAACAATCGCGCGGAGAATGGCCGGATTTCCGTTTTATTCGAAAGAAAAGTAACGCGCTCGATTCCATCGAAATCGCTTTGCCGCGCCCATTTCATGACCGTCTAAAAACCGATTATAAAATATAATTGGTGATTCCCCGTGTGCATGCATGTATCATAATATAATATGAGATATGTTTATCGTGTCATCAATTACTGTTGACTTTGAATATGTCCGCGTTTTGTATCCGACGCGATGGACGCACATTTTTTAACGTTATCGTAATCAGCTTATTTATACGTGTTTCTATACAATAAATATGTCATAGGATTACTTACTATGCTTAATATTTCTTATATTTCTTAAATGACGCGCGGTTACGAGGTGGAAAATCGAAAACATATTTTATTTTTTCCACGTGCAGTACCATCCAATGATGTTCTATACATTTTGTATTCAAATTGTATTCATATTCAAAATAATTTGAACGTTCAAAATGCTCTTACAGTTGAATTGCACAGTGCATTAGGAGACGTACGGGCGGGATGTGAGATCGATCACGCGAGATCCGAACGCTGTGCCGTAGGAGGGGAGGGGGTGCTATTCGTGGTGTTGGTCTGCCGCACGGTGTCCGTCACGCAGTCCAACCGGTCTGAGAAATCTGACAGTACGCGCGCGAGTCCTTCGGCCGCGAGCGTCAACCCCCGAAATCGTGGAGCCGAAACGCCCCGGGTTACCCGTACGCCGGCCATCGCACCACGAATGCTGTCGGTGTACGCAAGGCCGGCGTTAGGGGGAGGCAAAACGGGGACCTGTCCAGGACCTCGCCCTTAAAATTTTTATTGAAAATCATTTTGTACGGAAATCTGATAAAATAAAACGTGAAATGTGTGGATCGCCTGGTCTTACCACCGAACACTTATGATACTGGTTCGTTCGTCCGAGGAAAAAGTATAAGCGCAGCACTTAACACTTTTCATGACAAGTTCCGCTTGTCGGTATCAAGGAGGCCACTTTATGATCATAAACTTCCATCAGTCCTTCGGAAAATACAATGCTGAACATTGTACGCGTGTGAATAGACGATATTAAAATCATTTGTTCTAACACTGATTGAAACGCACTTACGTAGTTGCTGCAATACTCGATTAAAATAAATAATTCGTCGAGAAAATGCGAGAACGACCGGCTCATGGTTCGGATTCGTCCAGCTGTGCAAAACACGTATAGTTTTATATTTATATTCTCAGGTTTCCTCTACCACAGGGGGATTCACAGGTTCGCACCGTACAAAATAACGTGCAGTTTCCAGTCGACTCCGCTGTCGACGATCGCGTATACGGTCCACGTCAACAAATAATATATTTACCGTGCGAAAGAGCAATGCGTACGCCCAATCGAGATTAACGTATCGAATAACCGTGAAAATAAAAATGCTGAGAATGTAGTGCGTTATTTTTTATTTTATTCGTCGACATAACTGTCGAAAGTGTTTGGTTTTATTGGCATAAGACTTTAATATTCACTTCGTCAAATTTGTGGTCGTGAGACTTAGGTTAAGAGTGCTGTGTCGTTTGTTATTGACTCTTTTGCCGTAAACTTTATACTACGCGTACAAAATGAACACACGTTAACGACTACAGTAATTTATTTTAATTTCATTGAGCGAGATTGGCTGGAAAAAAACGAGTATTGGTTATTTCTAACCGTGTTTTGTCGAAAGAAAAAAAACTTGTACACTTTGTTTTTATTATCCGACGTCGCGACGCATTGTCTTAGAACTGCGTTAGAGTTACTATACATATAAACCACTGTTGTTTGAACGCCATCCCGCAGAGTTTTCGACTTGAAGTAACACACGTAAAACTCATATATACTTATATACTCGTATATATATATACATGTGATATCACAATTAGTCACTGCACGTCGTTAACTACGTTATAAACATTGTGTTATAATTATTATAGTATTCTGATATATCACGTGTAACCGTCATTTTTCTTTTTTTTTTTGTTTCAGGTGAGTTATTCGAAAATCATGTACGCATATTATATTATGTAGATATAAATTCTAGCTGTAAAAATAAAAAATAAAAATCGACAAACAATAGAGAAAGAAAAAAGTCGAACCCGGTATTCGGTACGTACCTACTATTTATATTATTTATTATTAACATATCGACCGCATATGGGCATTGTATAGGTGCATACATTATGTATTGTTGACGATCGTGATGGAACGATCATCAGAAACTAGATCGTACTAGAGCCAAGTGCAGTTGTGGTGATGTAATCTTCTTACACTCATACACCCGCACTCCTCCGCACTTGATCTTAGGGTGTGTGTGCGCGCGCGTGTGTGTGTATGTGTGTATGCGTGCGTGTGCCTGTTATAGATCACCGGCCATTGATCGCGATCGCTCGCGCGGGACATTGGAATAATAACAATTAAACAATCGGATTCTATACACACTGGTGCACTCGGCAGCGGCGGCAGTGATGATGATGATGATAATAATGTAATCCCATTAATAACGACCAACGGTCGTCGTCTTTGGCCAAGGTCGTTAGCCGCCGACAACCGCGGTGTTACGCAACGGCCCCCGATGGCTATTTTCGAAAAAAAAAACAAATCCCGTGCCTACAATGTATACCTACGTGTACAACATTAGTATATTGTACGACGAAAAATTAGTTGTGACGGGAATTTGACACGCACGCGTAAATCGAAATGGGTTTACGGTGAAATTTCCAACAGGACAGACGGCGGGTCTTGTGTGACAATCGAATTTCCGGACACGTAAGCATACACACACCTATAATACGATATTGTGTGCACGTAAGTAGTGTGCGATCCGCGAGAGAAAGCGCGTAACGCGACGACGAATTCGGCTATCGCGCGGTTAAAATGCAAACGGTCCGATGCCGATTCCGCAGACTTTAGAATCGATCCGTGAACTGCATTTGAACATAGTACTGCTACGACGTACCGGGGTATGAAATGTTGTGTATTGCGACACTGCATTTGGTGTTGTACAAGAAGTAAAACATAATACTTGAAATTTTGAAAGTGTGTAATAAGATAACTTGTTTGTCATCAGAGTCACGAAAACGGTTGCTTCCGTTAAGATATACCGTGGAGTATTCCAAATGGTCAAGTAGTACACAAATAATCACATAATTCCTAGATTTTTTAGTTGTTATTTTTATTTGGTTTGTTATTCGACCTATTACTTTCAAACCGATTTTTAAAAGTTCATATTAAACTGCTGATACATATCACTGGACACATTTATTTAACATTTAGTTTGTGTTGCACAAAGAAATAAGAACCGCAAATTCTAGGCCCTGCGGGGTACCAATAACCCTGCTTACAACTGTATATGTACATGTGTGTGAATTTATACGTACCTATAAGGTACCTTCACGTACGTAGTCCATTATCTAATATGTCATTGCGGTAACAATCATGGTATGAGTGCAAATCCACCTGCAGGGGTTGTAATGATGATCGAGTGCCGGCCAAAATATTGGTGTGTATAGAATCGTGAGAAAGAAAAGTTGATCGTACTCCATCTATACATTATATACTACGGGTTCCGATACAACCTGTTGGCTGCAAAACGATATTCAACCTAAAGAAAAAAAATAACAATGTAAGTGACTTTTGTTTCAAAAAATGTTACCAAAACAAGATGATATCAAAATCATAAGCGTCTTCTTTTGAACCAAACAACTCCTTCTATCTGAGTCCTCCTGTTCTGTGGAATGCCATGTTGTTGTGGCCTACTTGTAAACAAATCCTCGTACCTACGTATTTAGTCAGTACACACTATCATAATATCCGATGAAAGAGCGACGTGATTAGGCACGACTCAAATAGGGGTCGAGGCTGATTATTTAATATTCTTAAAAACTGCTTCCCCGGCACAAGCTTTGCTTATCGAGTGTGCTGCAAAAATTGTATTTTCGTTTGTATATTTTGATGTAAAATCTAAGATGTTGCAAAAAATAAAAATAAATATAAAATACATAAATAAATGATGATAAAGATGCGGGCCGCACGGTTATCTGCGGTGCGCAGCGTAGGTTAGGTTAGTAAAACGTGTAACAATGGCGTACAATGCGTGTAAAAACGAGAAATCTGTACCCCCGCGTGGAGTTCGCGAAACAGGTCTAATAACACTACCCGTATGAGTACGTAATAAATATACGGGTTTGCCTCTCAAATCTGACGTAGTGTCCAGAACAGGCTCGGGACGTTTCGGAAAACTGTATTATTTTTTCATTAATTTTTTTTTTTTAATGGACAAGTCGACTCGGCGATAATCCATGGTATTATTAAACACTCTACGAGAGAGAACCGTAACGGCCTCCTCCGCTGCTTCCTTTTCGACAGGTTTCGCGGCTAACACGTTTTTTAATCGTCCAAAAATCGCGAACAGTGCAACAGCTTTGACGGCTACTAATTGTTGTTGTTGGGTTAGTGTTATGTGCGTGAAAATACTTTTGCGTAGTGTTTGTAAAGCAATTTTCATTGTTAACAGTACTCGTTTATGTATATATACATTATGTACCGTAAAGTAGGGGACGAGTAGCGGTTGAGTGCACTAAACATGCGTTTCTTTCTTTGGGTATAGTCGACTGTCCAAGGTAAATAAATCGCTATCCTCTTCCGTGGCAGTGCAGAAGGTACTATTAAAAAAAAAAAAATGTCTAGGTGATCGACATGGACAAAAATATTAAAAAAATATGCATTCCATAATATCGTTATGACTTAACGGATTGCTGGTTTTATTGTTATTACAATAAATACAGTGTAGACATGGACAGATAGTCCATGGATAGATAAGTACCTCGGCCGAATTTATTTTCGAAGCGATCGCATTCTGTTTTGACTGCATTGCGGTTTCGGTAAACATATTATCGTAATAAATATTTTTCGAACAATTATCTATAACAACTGCACGGTGAACACGGCACAGTAATGTTATTGCGGATTTTCGGGAAAAAGTGATTTTTATTTATTTCCACAACGATTCCAATCGTCTATTGCTATTGGAGCGAAACATAATCGACATTACAAATCGTTCGGAGGAATTGCATTTATTGTCATTATACGATTGGATTACTTAAATGTTGCACAAAAATGAACGCGTAATGTTGCGCTTCCGGGTTCTTATGGTTTTCTATACTTCTGTTATTGGAGTAATATCGCGTCCTGATGAAGTGGTCTTCCGTGATAATACATGATATAATATCGTCGTGTCGTCGAAGATTTAAACTGATTTGAATCTTTTCCCGAACGCGCCGTTCTACGTATCATTTTTCACGTAATATATACGTTACGCGAGCGACGTTCAAACACTGTTCTCGGTTCCCGACGGTTTTTGACGTGTACGCAGGAAGTACCTTGAGGTGTCGAGCAGAGGATACGACGTGGACACAAAAAAAAACGTGGCGAGAACAAAAACTATTCGACGGACACGACGCTTTTGTTCGGAGCGTTTTCTCGTTGCACGTGCGCGTTCAATAAGGGCTCCAAATAAAACAATATTGTACTATTACGACGTAACCGCGGCCGCTGGAAATGAAAACAATCCGCTGCCATCTCCCTCGGACAGACGTGCCCTCCATGCTGGAGACCCGATGACGACCTTCTTCGTTCTGGCCGCAAGGACTTCGCTGCATGATTACGATTATCGTTCTCTCTTCCTCCCCATCGTTGACTGCGATTTTTCCGCCAGTCATTACTGTTTTTTCGGGGACACCCGTAGCGCGATCGGCTCCCAGTTTCTACTCCGACGACCACTTGTCCGCGTACCGAGACTGTATCCGTCGAGATGGTGACAGCGCATTTTCGGCCCCGTTACAATACACGCGTGTGACCGGCCGCGGGGCCGTGGTGCGTGAGCCGTCAAGGAATTCCGTACCGCCGAGGTCTCTCCCGAAACCGTCGACAAACGTTCTGTTATTAATTATCCATTCGCTACGTGGTGCGTGCGCGCACAGTAGTAGTAGTAGTAGTAGTAGTATGTCGACCACCTTGACCGGCGGACCGAGCGGATTCCGCGCGTTATTGAACGGATATTACACGCGCGTTTGTCGGATCCGAAAGTCCGCGGCCTTAACGTCGTGTTCGCCGTACGATGTTGTTATTATTCACATCTTCGCAACAACAATAAGGACACGCGTGTAAACACGACGGAATTGCACTAACGTATATATGTGTATGTGTACCATATTACTCCTTGCGATTCGTACACACACATAGCATTCGACTCGTGTGTTCGTTACGTAATAATAAAGTAACTCCCGTAATAATTGACATTGATGTGCGTGCGCGTGCGTATAGTAAGTAAAGATAGTGCCTCGACCGGTTGGTGACGGGGTGTAAAGCCGTAGGCATGAAATGAGATCAACGTAGAGCAACTAAATAGTGAAGTTAGTGTTTTTAGTACGTGTAAAAAATTACTTGCGAAAAACGGACTGAACGCAATCACTTACGGGCGTCGACGTTAACGTGTACGTTTCTGACTTGTGAAAGAAAACACGTGCACAATTAGTATCACGAAGATATTATGATCAATGATTTCGGACGCTAGAAATAATGATAAATAAATAAAACGTTCGTGATACGAATTTTAATGATTTTTTATTGTACAAGCTTCGCGATTCGGACCTCATTGACTAAAATGTCGATTACTTTCATCAGTAGTTGAAGTCTAAACGCATTGGGCCTCGTAGGTAAAAAAAATTGTTCAACACGTCACCGTGTGTGCGCGTGCGTTAACGAAAAACGTGTCTGTTCACTTTCGTTTGTGCGACGGGACCACGCGTGTACAATAATAACAGTGTTGGTGAAACGTGGATTTCCGGTCGAGCATTCCGTTGCAGTGGTCGTCAGGCAATAAAGCGTGCGCTAACGCGTGTTTGGTTGCGTCCACTTACGCGTGTTATCTTTAGGAGCAAACGTTATGACGTAGACCATGTTTAAACGCCCGTGTACGAAGTTTGCAATGTTTGCGTTCGACGGCGTTAAAACCGTTTGTTACCATATCGTTTATCTGTCCATCGTTGAAATGTAAAGAAAATTTTTGTTGTACGGTCCATAGACGACGGGACAACCGCTAATTGTTTTGAAGACCGAAACACGATGTCCGGTACCGCCTTTAACCGTGGTCACAGTTGCTACGATGTTCTCGGTCGAAATGTTGGCGTCACGCACGTATATCAAGTTCTTCCCGACAGTTTGGAAAAATGTAACGATTTCCTGTTGAATGAACAGGTCGTCGTAATCGACGCCGCGTTTTGCCGTAAAAAAACCAACAACTAGGCGTGGTTTCAGAGAGTAACCAGGGGGAGCATTTTAAGTTTTAACTGATACTAGTTGTTTCCTCAAATTAGTACTGAAACATAGAGTACGGCTACGTTTCTATATTATGATACACACCTCATATTAATGTCATAATATGGTTTTTTGGGCAAAATAAAATTATTAGGTAGGTATCTACTAAAATAATCTGGTTTTTACAGTTCACAAAAACAAAAATGTATTAAAAATTTGAAAAGCCCAGTGCCCTCCTCTCTTGGAGACGCGCCTGCCCAGAACGCACGCGTTTCGAACGTTGACGAGAAAATATTTCTTATACCACTGCAGTGGTATTTTTGGTTATTCGCGTGATGTTTTGGCACTTCGATCCCGTTCCGTTATTGGCCCTGTCGTCCGTGAGCTTTTCACGTTTTTATTTAAGGACTAAGCGGCGACCGCGTATCGGTTGGAAATGGTTTCTTGCCGGACGACGACGGGCAACACGCGAATTTATTTCAACAAATCGTTCAACCGTCGTCCGACCGCCACGTTTTCGCATGCGTATTACACGTCGGTGAAATATTACTCGACCGATAATACCATACCGTTTCCGCAATAATTTTTCGTTTTATTTAGTGTATTTTTTTTTTTTCATTTTCCGGCTCGTCAGCAATTAAACGCTTTCCGTGGTGCACGCTGGTGCAAGTGCAATACGGATTACGCAACCGTTTTTCTGCTGATTAATCGCATTGCTTGGGCTCGGAAACGAAACGCAATATTCGACACGTATATTCAAATTGACTGCAGTGGGCAGTAAAACGCTACGTGCTTCGCTCGACGAACACGATAAAAATGTACAGAGTGGATCCACGGTTAGAGAACTGTGGGTCAAGCTATTTTCAAGAGGCTACTTATTAGGGTTGAAACTGGATTATAACAGTATACCTTGTAACAAAAAAAAAAGATCATTTAATATTTGTTTTTAAGTTTATTCATAATTTTCATTGAATACATTCATAATTATTTTATTTTACGGAGTCTTACATGGCTTAGAGATGTTTTACTGATTATATAATTAAATTTGTGGCGTCATTTGGGGGATGACAACTGGGGCATTTGTCTCAGTCTAGTATTAATATCGACCTATAGTCGGCGCATTTAAAGAAAAATTAAAAGTCTTTAAGAAGCCGATTTTGCCAACTAATATTAACTGTGGGTCAACTAACTTCCTAAACCCCCATATAGATCCGCCCCTGAATGTACACCGATACGCAATGTACCTGTTGCGTTTCGTTGATCAGTGTAAGCGAATTATTTTTCAGTCGAGAACGAATCAACGATCATGTCGCTTCCACCATAATATATTATTATATATTATTATTACATAGGTATATTATATATGTATATGTCTACCGATGTTTCTGTGCGATATTACCATTTTAAACACATTTAACCGAGTGTTAAAGTATAAACATGTTAATTTAATTAAGCTATTGGCGAACGGCCGTAATAAATTCCGGTCCGTTCCGTGTGCATCTCGGACGCGCTGCAATTATAATAAAACGCGAACGCTAACTCGTATCGTAAATTCGCGCGTTACGTTCTGGCCGTGCAATGCACACACCCTGTGTAATGTATGATTTTTCGTTAAACGTTCGACGACTAATTAAACACGCGGTCAAAACGGTCGAACGATTGTGTTGTTGTGAACGTGTAACGTATACATAATTTATGTCCGTACGCAGTCGACGTCGTATTTAAATTCTTTACGTCGGTTATTTTTATTTTTTTTTTTTATACCTTTCACTCGCGAATCGACGGCGGAAAATATTTTCTCGACGGAGAACAAACAATCGTACAGAAATTTACCATTACCGTTCGATTTCGTTTTATGGGTTTCGTCAACCGGAGAAACACGTGCAGCGTATTCAAGTGTACGCTCGAGTGTACAAGAGGCTCCGTTGTGCCCGTTTAACGATTTAACGAACGCGGCCGCGTGTAATCGAGTGGCAGAACGATCGAAGAACGCGGAAACAACGACGTAACAATGCTCTTCGGAATACGACAACGACGATAACTAGTAGTATTCTACAGCCGGTATATGTGTGACCGAAAATCTCGTCGAGGTCGAGATGCTGCCGTACCGTTAATCGCGCAAGATTTGCGGAAGGATAACAATACGTTGTCGTACGTGTGTGCTGCTCGGGGCTCATCGATTGATTCGTATACAATATGTTTGTTGCACTGTTTTGCTGTTGTCGGTTTTGTTGTTAACGTCGTCGTGTGCGTGCGTGGTTTTCGATTACAAGTCTGACCTTGGCATTGGTATGAACACGAGTGCGTGGTGCCGAATACGCGCGTTCTGTAAATAATGTTATTGTATTACACGGGTGTTTGCGGCGACAGCGATCGTTTCACGCGGTACACGAGAAATCGAATGACCGCGACGGAGGCGCAGATAATTCACTGAACGCGGTCGGGACGCCGAACGAAGCCGCACCGCGACGCGATGGCTATCTGTTATACTCCGAATGGGATAGGCTCCCATTACCGTTCAAAGTGTATTTATACATCGGAGCTACGAGCGCGTGTGTGTTTCGTGGAGTATTACGATATGACACGAGAAGTGGAGAGAGGAAGAAAGAAAAAAGATTGTTTTATTTTTCGATTACGACGTTCGCCACGCGAGTCCTGGCGTGTGCGCGCATTCTCTCGCCACCGACACCATCGCCGCACTCGACCCGTGACCAAAAGTAGCCGTGCCCAAAGCCCGTTTCAACGCGCACCGGGTTAAGATGCGACAGTCGAAAACTCGACTGAAAATCAACACGTATTTGTGTATCACATACGTGCGCGCGCGGTACGCACTACGCGTCGGCAATGCACCACAATGCGACTAACGTGCGTGTGTGGTACGTGTCGGGCGTGTGGAATCGAAATAGAATATCAACATCGGTGATACGATGTCCTTCCGACAGGGTGGACGAGGTTTTTTTTTACACTCACCCTTATCTGGACGGCTTTCGGCCCATCACGTTTCGTTCCGATACAACTACCTCCTCCCGGGGTCATCCGGACGATTAGGCGACATTTTCGAAAAGGTCTTTTGTGTACGCGCGTTCATTGTACGCTTCGCGTAGTGAATTAAATTTATATCCATGTACCTTCACGCGCCTAGACGGTACGGCGGCCGATAAATGTAGGTCAAAATCGGTGAATAGAAATACAACCCTCGCGTTTTTGTGAACGAACAAAGGCTCGGTGGAACACAACAAACACGTTGTATAATAAACTCGTGAGTATCGCACAAACGACATTTCTTCGTCCATAACATCATATTTTCAACACCGCGTGGGCGTCACTTTAATTTTTCTCCGATTATAAAGCGAGCTCTTAATGATCGATCCAATGCGTCCCCGTTCGGTAGTCATGTTTTATAAAAATATATAATTCACAAAGCCAATTAGTGGTCGTACACAAAAGAAATAATCGGATAAATTGCTACGTAGGTTTTGTGCAATATTATTATATATCATGGTAAACATCGATATCAGAATTGGATTTACTATACATGAAGAACCGCCTTCGCAAAACTATACATCTCATTGCCAGAGTAGGTTTATAAATAAAAATGTAAAATCGTGTACATAATTTTATTTTTAACAAGAACACTATCTCAATTTTACTACGATATACAATGTTTTTTTATAAAATCACACGATTTAAACAATACTAATATGATTCACAATAGCGTGCTCTGTGTCCAACATAAAACGAAAGCGTTTGTTTGTGCACGCGCACATAGAACGCGAAACATGAGGGCTGAAACTGCAATCGCATTACATTTTTACAAATAACATGTGCAGATTTCACGTCGGCAGCGGCGACGGTTAGGAATAGGCGGGATTTATTATGCCCTGTTCTACTGCCCTCTCCCCTTTGGATCCACTCCACTCGCTGACACTTTGAGACGCGCAGATAAAAAGACGACGGAAGACAGCGTATACGTATTTTTCATTATAATATATTCTACACGAGCGCCTGCATACAGTATATTCCTAAATGTACACATATAAACCGTGTACGTTTATATTATGAACATACTGAGGGACTTGTCGCGGCGGTGTTTGTCTGCATAATGACGATTAAAAACAAAGAACGCATTCGGAGAGCATCATAATTCACCGATTACCATCGACCGATGTTGTGCTCGGGTGCGTGCGTGAGTGCTGTCTTGTCGAAAAGATAACAATCGTTATTCAAACCGATTAATTCGATATATTGGAATTTGACCCAGACCTTGACAGGAGTCAACAGCTCGGACGTGGGTGGTTCGATGGCACGTTTTATAAATGATCCGGCGGCGGTGTGCACTATTATTATTATTATTTATCCACCCGCTGCGTGCAAGCGCGCAGCGACATCACGTCCTCTGGATGCTGCTCGCACCTCGATGGATACGACAACCGCTGTACATAACATTCAGCAGTCTATCAATATACGTCGTATTATTATTATAATAGATACTTGTCACACACACCGTTCTCCGATACAAATAGTAGTTCGTCGATGCAGTCGATTATTATATTACTGTTGTTGCGCCGTCGTTGCCATTCCGCACGGCAACGTTGTATCGGTCCGTATATCGGTGCGAAATTCGTCGCACGAGATTTACGGACCGCGAACTCATATACTACACTCATTGCTCCGGGTCGTCGAATAAGCTCCTAACCTAACCTGTACGGCGACAAAACCGATAAAACGAACGGACCAACAAAATCGTTAACGATTTAATCGCGATTACTTCACGAATACGTAAGTATGTACATTAGCAAGACGCAGTGCAACAGCACACGTAAAAATGTTTATTACACTTACGAAATGTGAACACACGAGCGTAATTTATCTGAAAAATGTTTAGGATTATTATGTGCACCAGATAGGTTTAACAAATAAAACTGGTTCCTTGTAAACGTATGGTGTGATGAACAGATGTATGGGATTCGGCGAAACACTGATTTCAAATACATTTAAATCCGAAACAACGAAACGCGATTCAGTGGAAACTCAAACAATACGATAGTTGTGTTGGTGCATGTGATTTATTTTTAAAACATACGCACCGAACAGAATAATATTTATACGTTTTTTGAACACCCCGAGTTCGTCGGTATTCGTTGTGCGTACGAAAGAAAAAAAAACAACCATGACAATCCTACGGACACGTTGTATCGACACCAATCAATGAAATCGGAATCTGAGGATTATCTACCGATTATGAGAACACATCGAGAGATATCGAATAATATCGGTTGTTGTATACGAAATAATATTTAATAATTATAATAATAACGTGTATTATATTTCGTGTGCGTGTACGTGTGCGGCGCGCGGTTTACGTATAATAGAAATAAATTCGACGATAACGTTTTCGTGGCTAATGGCCACCGGTCTATGGGAAACATTCGTTTTAACACATGTCTGTCATATTAGAGTGCGTCGGCATCACGAGTTTAACAGTCGGTCGGAAACTCGTTCACATAAACACTGCCGTCCGAAAGCGACGTTGCCTTGTAAAACGGTCCGTAAATATTTTTCCCGGTCGCATATACAGACGATGATAATAATATGTGCGTAATAACAATATATTATATTGCGTTTCCGCGGCGGCGCTGCTGCTACGTGTAATGTTGTTACGTGGCTCCGACGCGTTCGGAAAGATTTCGTTTAATCGACGCGTTTATCAGGTGTCACGTCGACGACGCGAACTGAGTTGGAAGATGAAACGATACTGCTGCGTTTCTTGCGCACACGTAATACATGCATATTATACGGTTGGCCATCGGATGAGTAGAGAACGCGCAGTGTTTGATCCCGACGTCGTTACGAGCGCGCGCGGCCAATGTGGATTCTACCGGAACGATCGTGCGAGATAAATGTAAATCTTCCATGTATCCGTTTAGCCTGTAATGACAATAACGATATCATATCGTGTCGTACGCGCGATTTCAGACGAACAAACGTTAGTGCCGGTTGTGACGGCCACCATAAGGACGTAATCACAGTTCGAACTCAAACCAACTCGACCTACCCGAGTGTGTACTAGAAGCGAATACAACACTGTGAATATATATATATATATTATACGCACGCGGGCGGATTAAAAGCAATGCGTGGTCGTATGTCTTTGCGGACACGTATAATATTATATAAATGGTGTATACACCGAGGCACATATCGGGAACCCGGGTGAAAGACCGCCTTTATCGTTACTTTTTTCTCTCTCTGCCGCGCGCGCACACACATGCACTCTTCCGATTTCCCGTTGGCCGATAATTTATTCGAGTTTTACGTACGACGAGGATCTGAAGTAGGAACGGAGT